GATTTAAGGAAATAATTCAAATCATTCATTCTTATTATGGAGAGCAAGTGTTAGTTGCTCAGTCCTGTTTGACTCTGCGACACCATGGATTGTAGCCCCCAGACTCCTCTGTCCAGGCAAGACTACTAGAGTGAGTTGCCATGCCCTCCTCCAGGGGATCTTTCCAACCCAGGGATCAAACCCAGGTCTCCCACATTGCAGGCAGATTCTTTACCATCTGAACCTTCAGGGAAGTACAATTATGGAGAGATAGGCAAACCATAGATCATTTTTTGTTGTTGTTTTGCCTGATTGGATTTTCTTAATCTTTTTAAAAAATGAGGTGAAATTGATATGGCAAGTGATGAAGTATAATAAAGAATACAAATTAGGGACATTTAGTGCATTCCTAATGTGATCAGCCACCACTTCTCTCTAGTTTCAAACTTTTTCATCACCCAGAAGAACATCCCACAGACACTGGGTAATCACTCCTCATTCCCTCCTTCCTTTATGCCCTGTTTTACGCCTCTGTAGACTTGCCTATTGTGGTTATACCATATAAAAGGGATCATATGTGACTTTTTCTGTTTAGCTTCTTTTATTTAACATAATGTTTTCAAGGTCCATCTAAGTTGTATCATGTGTCAGAACTTTGTTTCTGTTTATTATTGAACAAAATCCCATTGTATTCGTATATCACAATCTATTTTTCCATTCATCCATTGATGGGCATTTGGGATGCCGCTATGAATATTTATAATACAAGTTTCTGTGTGGATATATGCTTTAATTTTTCTTGTAGGTAAATACCTAGGAGTGGAATTGCTGGGTCATATAGTAACTCTACGTTCAGCTTTTGGAGGAACTGCCAAAATGTTTACCATGGTGACTGTATCATTGTACATTCCCTCCAGCAATGTACAAAGGTACTTATCCCTTCATATCCTTGCCAATACTTACTTTCCATTTTTGTTGTTGTGTTTATTAAAGCTATACTAGGGGGTATGAAGTGATATCTCACTATGGTTTTGATTTTCATTCTCTAATGACCAGTGATACTGAATATCTTCTCATGTGCTTATTGACCATCTGTATATCTTTTTGGAGAAATGTCTGTTCGTGCTCTTTGCCCATTTTAAAAACTGGGTTGTTTGTCTCTTTGGTTGAGGTGTGAACAGTTCTTTATATACTCTGGACATTAAACCCTTACCAGCTATGCAATTTTCAAATATTTTCTTCCATCCTATAGGTTGCTTTTTCAGTTTTGATAATGTTTTTAATCAGATATTTTAACTTTTTATGATATCCAACTTATTTATTTTTTGTTGCTCATACTTTTTGTGTCAAATCTAAGAATTCACTGCCAAACTCATACAATCTTAAAATTCATATGGAACTGCAAGGGACCCAAATAGTCAAAACATTATTTAAAGAAGAAAAAGGTATAGTATTCATACTTCCTGATTTCAAGACTTATCACAAAGCTACAGTAATCAAAACAGTGTGGTACTGGCATAAGTACCAATGGAATAAAACTGAGATCCCAGAAATTAAGCCCAAACATCATGGCCAATTGATTTTTGATAAGGATACCAAGACCATTCAATAAAGAAAAGAATATTCTCTTCAACAAATAGTGTTGGGACAACTGGATATCCAAGGGCAAAAGAAGGAAGTTACATCCCTACCTCACTCTATGTACAAAAATTAACTCAAAATGGATAAACAACCTAAATTTAAGAACTAAAACAATAAAATTAGTAGAAGAAAAGAGGAGTAAATATTTGCCATAGACAATTTAAATCCACAGATAATTCTCCACTCTAGTCAAAGGTGAATATCTTTCCCATGATAACTTTGCCCAAAGACTATGGGAATGGTAGCAGAGCTGACTGACTCGAGTTTTTATCTCCATCGCTCCTCTGTCCATTAAGATAGACACTTCAGGAGAAATGCCACTGAAAGTAATCAGAAAGAAGGCAAAAACAAGCAAACAAAAACAACAATCATAACAAAAAGAAGTGCCTAGGCTAATCCTAACCAAAAGTACAATTGGCTACTAGTTATAAAAATAAAACCCAAATACACAAGTTAAACTAAACACACCCTTTGGTTTCTAAATTCTTTGCCAGGAATAAGGATAATAGTGATTAACAGCACAGACCCCAAATCCAGAGGGCCTGGATTACAATCCTAGCCTTACTTAGCTGCTTATTATTTTACTTAATCTCTCCATGCCTCAGCTTGCTATTTGCCATAGACAATTTAAATCCACAGATAATTCTCCACTCTAGTCAAAGGTGAATATCTTTCCCATGATAACTTTGCCCAAAGACTATGGGAATGGTAGCAGAGCTGACTGACTCGAGTTTTTATCTCCATCGCTCCTCTGTCCATTAAGATAGACACTTCAGGAGAAATGCCACTGAAAGTAATCAGAAAGAAGGCAAAAACAAGCAAACAAAAACAACAATCATAACAAAAATAAGTGCCTAGGCTAATCCTAACAAAAAGTACAATTGGCTACGAGTTATAAAAATAAAACCCAAATACACAAGTTAAACTAAACACACCCTTTGGTTTCTAAATTCTTTGCCAGGAATAAGGATAATAGTGATTAACAGCACAGACCCCAAATCCAGAGGGCCTGGATTACAATCCTAGCCTTACTTAGCTGCTTATTATTTTACTTAATCTCTCCATGCCTCAGCTTGCTTACCTTTAAAATAGGCACTAATATTAGTGCCTACTTCATGGGATTGTTGCCTAGCACATAGTAACTACTTCAGTGTATGCTATTATTTCTAGGACTGACAGAGGATGGATCAGGCAAAAGAGGTATTTCTATGCTTCCATGATTATGTATACAGTTGCTTAAAAAAGCAGCTTATATTGTGGCCATTAGCATATGCCTTATAGACCTTCAACTTTGGCATAACTGAGGAAGGGCTCCAGCTGCTGTGCTCTGAAATCCAACACCGTGTTTGCAAAAGGTCTCACTTCCCACCAGCTGCTCCCAGCCAGTAACTAAGTGCCTGTAGAAATGCTAAGGGAGGTCATTCCTGGGAGGCAAAGGACTCCTCTTATGGTCAACTTTGGCTCAAGTCCTCTTTGACAACCTTGTTGAAATTTCCTTACTCTGAAGGACAAGTTAGACTTCCTATTCTGCTTTGTCTTCACTCTGGGTCAGTTCTGCATCATGATCTGATGGCTCTCACAGCCTTTCCTGTTTCCTTCCCTTTAAATCTCACCTTAGTGTCAGATTCTTAGAGGACTTGGACTAACACAGTCTGGCATTCAAGCTCTCTTGGCTCTGAACTTAACCTATATGCTGCCTTATCTCCTACCTCTCGTGGTTGTTCTTGTGGTCTGACTCTTTACAACCCCATGGGCTGCAGCACACCAGGCTCCTCTGTCCTCCACTATCTCCCAGAATTTGCTCAAATTCATGTTTATTGAGTCGGTGATGCTTTCTAACTATCTCATCCTCTGTCTCCCCCTTCTCCTTTCACCTTCAATCCTTCCCAGCATCAAGGGGTCTTTTCCAGCGAGTCAGCTCTTCACATCAAGTGGCCAAAGTATTGGAACCTAGCAACAGTCCTTGTAATGAATATTCAGGGTTGATTTCCTTTAGGATTGACTGGCTTGATCTCCTACTTCTTAGCTGCTTGTATCTTCCACTCTTGGTTTCCAAATGTGCCTTGTGCTTCTGCATTTCTGAGCCTTTGCCCATGCCCCTTCACCAAGAACGCACTCACCATCTGGCCATTTTAGCCTTTTGGATGACACTTGTCACCAGTCATGCATCTCAAATGTCATCTTCTCTAAGCCTTTAAGATCTTTACCTTCTCTAAACCTCAAGGACTCTTGCTTTTGAGCTTTTTATTAAGCTTCTTAACAGCAATAATTATTTCTTACCTTGAGCCCTCCAAAGTCCCCCAGGTGTATCAAACAGGTAGTCACAAATACATGCAGGATAGAATTGGAAAATTAGGGGCAATTCTATGCTAGTGAATTTAACTTTTAACATTTAGGATTTCCAACAGCTTACATCCATTTTGATTGATAAAGCAACAATGAACTCAGATGAATTAAAAAAAATCCCAATGTTCAAAGCACTTAGAGCAAAATGTGGCCTGCAGTAACTCAGTTTTAATATCTGCTTGAAATTCTTCATCAGATTTGGCTGATTTCCACCCCTTAAAGAGTGATGATGTAAAATTCTAAAATCATTTTGGTTTTGTCTATGTATACGAATAGGGACTAAGAGACAAAGAAAAGCAGCTATAAAAAAGGGCTTCCTCCTCTAGCAAAGGGCCCTAGGCTTCAGGACTGGGATGGCCAACATCTCTCTCCTTCAGCCCCTCCAGAAGTAGAGAAAGGAGATTCTGACATTTTTACGAGCTTTCATGGAGTGAGGTACATACACAGTAATATGAAAGGGCATTGATGAGCTTAATATGCATAGAATCTTAGTCCCTTGCATATTAGGGTCATTATTATAGTTGACACATATCAAGTGCTTTTTATTTATGTTTAATCCTTACAGAAGACACCCTGATAAAGGACAGGAAATCGAGGCTCTGTAACCAAGTCATGCTAGTAGGTCACTGACCCAAATCCCTAAGAAGTTTATGTAGGCATCCAAAAGATGTATTGATGACATAAAATATATTTCCCTCTCCCCAACCTCACTGCAGGGCTTCTGGGGCAATGTTCTCGGGCAGTTCAGCCTAAGGAAGCTGACACTGGATCTGGCACCTAGCCAGAGTGCAGCAGGAGTGCCAGTTCAACAGCTTCAAAGGTTGTAACTCTTTAACCTGCAGACCCAACCTCTCACCATTTCCGGTGAGGTCTGCAACACTCAGTAAGAACTCTTCAGGTGGAAAACAGGAAGAGGGTGGCTCTTACAAGTATCAGATAGCACCTGCGTGGACGCTCATGTATTAATGATTTAACCAGGGCGATCACATGAGGGAACAGCCGTTTTCCCCTGCCCTCATACTTGTCACTAACAGGCCTGAAAGTGAACAAGATGGACAGGTCCACCAAAGAGGAAGAGGAAGAGGAGGATCGTGCCTTCACCAACATTTCTCTTGCAGATGACACAGGTAAGGAAGAAACTGATGACTTCCGAAACATAAAATTCAGCAAGTGCTCAGCAGCTTTGTAAAACAATAATTGTTATTGTTTTTATTATGATGGTAAAACAGTCATTGTAGATAACTTGAAAAAAAAAGCTACAAAAATAAAACAAAAAAATGTTTAAGAGCCACTTTTCTTTTTCCTTTAAAATTCAGTAATTTAGCTCCTGTGGTTGAATTACATGTACTTTAAAAATCAATCAACAAATAAAAATATAAAATGTTTATTTCCTGGAGACTCAGGAAACATGATCTTAAAGTTGTTACTAAAGCAACCTATGATATTATTACCCGAATTTGTTCAATTATAGTCCATTTTTTCTCTGTTATGTGAAGTTTCATCATTTCTGGTAAATGAACTAGAATACTCTGCAATTCACTTTAAAATCTGTCACAGAACATGTCTGGTTTTTAAGCAAGGACAAAGTTTGCTAAATTCCACGTGAAAGAAGGAAAAAGAAGGGAGTGGTGTTTCTAACATGCTGATGGAAGGGATAACTACAGTTCGTTCAACATCAGGGAGAAAACAGACACTGTCTGACTTGGGAGTGCATGCTCAGTCGCTCAGGCGAGTCTGACTCTTTGTGACCCCATGAACTGTAACCGGCCAGGCTCCTCTGTCCATGGAATTTTACAGGCAAGAAATACTGGAGTGGGTTGCTATTTCCTCCTCCAGGGGTCTTCCACACCCAGGGGTTGAACCCGCATCTCCTGCACCTTGCACAATGTTAACTGGAAAGACTTCCCACCTATAAGCACCCAAGTGTTGTGTGTGTGCGTGTGTGTTAGTGGCACTGTTTTATATCCAAGTTCCCTCAGCAAAATCATAGTTATTAATAGAAGCCAGCAAGACTCAGCTAAGCAATGGGGGTTACTGATTTTGATTAACCGAGAGCAAAGCATGAATATTTAACATCAATTGCTCTTTCATACAGCCACGCTTCTCCACTTTCTCCCTAAATGCTCAGATTCAAAAAGCCTCTTTCTAAAGTGCGGCCAGACAATTAGCACAAACTGCCAGCCAGCTTCCCCTCCTGGCACCGCATAAACATGCTGAGGGCTTTGAAAAATCAAAGAGGAGCATTTTCAGTCTTTACGACGGGAGGAAAGGTACAACAAGGTCTGGGGTTTGTCGAAGAAAAGGGATACCGCTGGCCTTCACATGCTCCCATCAGGGTGTTTTAGAAAAATGACAGGGCTGGAGAAGGCAGTGAAGGGAACAAAGACCAGGGAAACTTGCCCCTTAGCTTCTAGAAGGCACGATGAGCGCTAGGCATGCGCTTGGGGAGTCCTATATGCCATGGGGCGGTTGCAGTTCCTACAGACTGCTGGCTTGCTCTGAATTCACCCCCCATCCTGGGGCAGGATTCTTTCTCCCTTGTAACGTGGGCTGGGCCTGAAAGAGATGGTCGGCAAGGCAGAGAACGAGTCTTTGTGAAACCGAGATCTTTCATCCAGCCCAGGGCAGGGCCTCAACTCTGCCGTCTGCGTCTCACCATCTGCTACCCTCACACTTTCCAGCCGGACGAAAAGAGACGAGGGCGGGGATCTGAATTCAGGTGTCCAATCCACGGCTGCCAATGGAGAGGGTCTCCATCGAAGTTTTGCTTGCTAACCGAGTCTAAGGCCAGGGGCGTAGACTCAGAAACTGAGGAACGGGGATGGAGTAAGCAGGATACCCCTGTTAGTGTGAGAGGCGGCAGCAGAAGGAGGGCTTTGAGGGCACCTGGATCCGACTTAAAGCCTCGTCATTCCTGGTTGGAGGAGTCACAGAATCTCAGGGCATCAGGGGCCTTCAGGGGTGGTCCAGCGTGGGAACCAGTGGTGGGCTGAGGCACTAGCTCTAATTCTGCTGTTTCAGCATTCCAAGATGGAAAATGGAAGTTGTTCCTGTACTTGTAGCAGGAAAGAACTGAAACCCCATAGTCCCCTGGCTTTTGGAGATAAATGTATCAATTTGATGAGGGGATACTGGTTCACTGTTGTTAATAAGAGGTTCTTGGTCCTTGATAAATAAAAACAGGAAGACAAATTATTATGAAACAAATGCAGCTTGTTCACAAATTCACATTAGACTGAACTGCATTTCTTTCAGTAACATCTCTTTCCATGTTGGGTTTCCTGCCAATGGTGTGATAAAAAGCAACTTCTGTGTAAAAATTGATGTAGAACAGGTAATAAGGGTGTCAGTTTCAGCTGGCTGGAGAAGTTGTGAAGTGCCCAGAAGGCCCACACATTCCGTTAGGTAAGTGTGTTACTGAGGAATGAAATTTTTTTCAGCCTAGGTGCAGTATTTTTTTTTTTTTCTCAAATGATTACTAACTTTTAAGGACACAAACACTTATTAAGGTGTTTGGACGTGAATACTTAATTTGTGGAACTGTTTGGTGTCTCTCTTGGCCTTGGAGCACTGAAAAAATTACTTAAAATGAAGGGCACTGTGAACCAAGGTAGTCTGGGAATCTCTGGTCTAAGTGGTACTAAGTCTTTCCCCAAGATTCTGCTCTTGGCCTGCTTTTCCTTTCTCTCTTGTTCCATTCTTACTGTCCATGCTATATACCAGTGACCCTAAAACAGAGCTTGTAAAATAAACCCCTCTAGGGCCAAGCAGTGTATCTGTAGGAAAGAGGCAATGGCCTCTCATCGTTTATTTCATTCGGTTTCCTAAACTATTGAAGAAATGTCAACACTTATCTCAGTGTATTAGGTTTTTCCATTATGTATCTTTTTGTTTTTAAACTTTTTACTTTGAATGTGGTAAGAAGATATAACATGAGAGCTCCTTCCTTTAACAGGTGTTTTGAACACTCTTTTAAGCAAATGTTTACTTTTGGCTGCGCTAGGTCTTCTCTGTTGCGCGTGGGCTTTCTCTAGCTGCAGTGAGCAGGGGCTACTCGCTAGTCATCGGCCCCTCGTTGCAGAGCACGGGCTTTAGGTGCCTGGGCTTCCATAGTTGCGGCTCTCGGGCTTAGTCGCCCTGCAGCATGTGGGATCATTCCCAGACTAGGGGTTGAACCTGCGTCCCCTACACTGGCAGGTGGATTCTTAACCACTGGAGCACCAGAGGAGTCCTCCCTAACACATCTTTAACAGTACAGTACCATTAACCACAGACATAATGCCATTCATCAAATCTCTAGAATAGTCTTACCTTCCTGAAATGTTATACCTGTTGACTAGCAGTTGCCTCTTCCCCCTTGCCCCAGCCCCTGCAGTCATCATTTCGCTTGTTTTTCGCTTCTGAGTCTATCTTAGATACCTCATATGAGTGGAATCATACAGTGTTTGTCCTTCTGTGGCTGGCTTGTTTTACCGAGTATAATGTCCACAGGGTTGATCCAATTGTGACTTATTGCAGGACTTCATTCTTTTTTAAGGCTGAATAATGTTCCATTGTATACATATATCACCTTTTTGTTTATCCAGTCACCTGTTGATTTGATGTTTTGGTTGTTTCCACATCTAAGCTATTGTGATTAGGACAGCAGTGAATATGAGAGTGGTACTATCTCTTCAAGATCCTGATTTCAATTATTTTGAGTAAACATCTGGAAGTGGGATTATTCATCATATGGTAGTTCTCTTTTTAAGTTTCTGAGGAATCTCAATACTGTTTTCCATAGTGGCTGCATCATTTTACATTCCCTTCAGTAGTATAAAGTGTTTCACTTTCTCCATATTCTTACCAACACGTGTAGTCTTTGGGGGCTTTTTATTTTGGTTACCATCACAACAGCTGTGAGGTAAGATCTTGTTATGATTTTGATTTCATTTCACTGGTGATTAGTCATATTGAGCATCTTTTCACTTACCTGCTGGCCATGTTTATGTCTTCTCTAAGGAAACATCTATTGAAGTCCTTTGCCCATTTTTAACTGGGTTATCAACACTTTTGTAACTGAGGAGTTCCTTATATATTTTAGTATAAATTAACCTTTTAAGTGGTCAGTTATACCATTTGCAAATATTTCATCCCATTCTGCGGGTTTCTTTTATATTCGGGTGATTGTTTCCTTTATTGTGAAGGAGTGTTTTCATTGATGTCATCTTCCTTGTCTATTTTTGCACAGTCACCTATGCTTTTGGTGTCATATCTGTCAAATTATTGCCAAGACCAATGTCACAAAGCTTTTCCTCTACAGTTTCTTTTAGGAGTTTTATAGCTTTTGGTCTTACATTTAAGTCTTTAATCCACTTTGAGTTGATTTTTGTGTATGGCGTAAGATAAAGGTCTTCATTTTTCTGTATGTGTACAGTTTTCCTAACACTAGTTGTTAAAGAGACTATTCTTTCCCCATTGAATGTTCTTGGCACCCTGTTGAAGATTAGTTGGCCTACATGTATGGATGTGTTTCTGGACTCTGTATTCTATAGGGTGGTATGTATGTCTTTATGTCAATACCATAGGTTTTTTTTTTTTTTACTATTTTAATTTCTATGCCTTTGTAATATACATTTTATTACACTGAAATCAGGAAGTACGATACTTCTAGCTTTGTTCTTTTTTTCCTTTCAAGATTTTTGAGGCTATCTGGGGTCTTTTGTGATTTCATATTAATTTTAGAGTTGTTTTTTCTACTTCTGTAAAAAATGCCTTTGAGATTTTGATAAGAACTGCATTGAGCATGTAGATTGCTTTGGGTGGTATGGACATTTTAACAATATTAAAGACTTATACCCTGAAAGTTACAAAACAGTGATGAAAGGAATTAAAGGAGATACAAACAAATGGGAAGTCATCACGCATCTTTTAAATACAGCAGACAGAAATATTAATATGGTTTATTTCACAGTGATATCTGAAGTTTAATTCTTTCAACAAGGATATGCATTGTTTGCAAATCAAATTATGGGAACATTATTCATTTCTCAACACCTTTTTTCTTAAAACACAGTCCTCTTGGACTAGATTTCATTTTCTACTTTTAACTAGGATAAGAGTACAAGAAAAGTTTACTTTTCTCTTAACTCTACTGTAAGAAAGGCAACAGCGATAGTGATGATAAGATAGCAAACAATGCTGAGCCCTGAGCCAGGGGCCCAGCCAGGTGAGGACAAAGGCTCCTGCAGAACATGTGCCCTCCTCAGAGAGCCCCACTTCTTCCTACTTCTAGCTGACTACTGTCATGAAAGAACAGAAATGCAAAAAAAGCAGAATTTTCAAGAGACATCCAAAATATAGATTCTTTTGGCGGGGGGATGTGCAACTTCCTAATTTTTCTATGTTTTCCACCTAATCCTGATTTTTAAAACAATATCATGGAAGTCCAAATAAAACAGATATTCAGGACAAAAGTGACTGTAGAAGAATCTATTTTCAGACTTCTCAAATCTTCATGATTTGTCTTTATCTCTCTTTAGAGCTTCTGATTCATAATCCGACTGCTTGCTAAATACCTAGTTACGTCCCAGTTGCCAAATGATCTCTTCTTATCCCATGGACACCCCCTAATCTGCTCCCACTTCTGATTCATAATTTTAATGAATGGTCCCATCATCCACCTTGTTCCTTAAGCAAGAAATTCACATGCCATTGTCCCATTCTTATTTCTCACAACCCAATCAAATTGCTTATTCCTGTTGACTTGACCTTGAAAATGTTTCTCAAATCAATCTGGCCTCCTCTACCCCCACCACCACTTCCCTGATTAGGCCCCCATTATCTCCCACATAAACCACAGCATCAACTGCCCAACTGTTCTTCCTATTTCAGTTCTTATCCCTTCAAGTCTCTCCTCCACACTGACCATATCACTGCCTCTCCCTGCAAAGACCGATCAATACCTCACATCCCCTGCTGGAAGAAGTTCAAACACTTAACGTGGCATTTAAAGTTTCCCTCTTCCTGGTTCTGCCTATCTCTTCAGTGTCATTTCCTGCCACGTGGTTTCAGCTCAGTAGGAAACACTTAACGCCCAAGCAAAACCCGGCCAATTCAAGCCCCCGGAACTTGCCCCCAACGCCCCCCTTGCCCGGAAAAAAAACAACCAACCCTTCCTGCCCGGCTAATTCCTGTTTATTCTTTAAGAACCCACCCAGGCATCACTTTCTCCAGGAAGCCTTCGTTGACCTTCCCATACTGATTTAAGTTTCCTTTCTCCTTCCCGAAAACTCCAAAATTACATTTTTTCATAGCATATTATATGAGCTTGTATGTATACGAGCCCCTCTACCCCCTGCTAAGAGACTGTGAACTGCTAAAAGATGGAACCTGGGTTTTAAAATGTCTATATTTCTGGCACCTAACCCAATGTCTGGTACCTAATAGATGCTCAAAACATTTTTGCCAAATAATTTTGATTGAGTTTCTGTATACACTGGGATGAGAGCCCCTAGCCAAGAATCGACTCCTAGGGTCAACTTTCTTAAATCATTTCTTTCCTATCTCCATTTCTAGGTCAGTTTAGTTCTGCTTTCAGAAAACATTTTTTGACCACTACCATCACATACCAGGTAGTAGACAGGACTTGGCTATTTGGAGAATCAGCTCAGAGTAGTGTGGCAGAAAAGGCTTGAACTTGGGAGTCAAAAATGTCTGGGTTTGAGTCTTTTGGACCTTGAGCGAGTTATTTAACATCCCTGAGCCTCAGTTTCCTCAGTTGTGAAATGATCCTATGAATATGTCTCAGAATTGTTTTGAAGATTAAATGAAATAATAAAGGAAATTTCCTGAAACAGTCTGACTTACTAAGTGTTCAGTATGTTTTAGTTCCTCCTTTGCCCACTTCAAGGAGATCACCCACAAGTTTCTTGAAAGGCTCCAAGATTTGGTCATATCGGTTGTCATGGTAACAGCAGCATCCTGTGGACACAGCCGGGACTGGCTGTTGACATCCTCCTGATAAAGAGGCCTGTGGTAGAAGGGGGAGGTGCGGATGAACAAACTCTTTTAACAAGAGCACGATTCTTTTCTGATACAAATAAGACAGCTCTTCTTTGTCGTCTTCATCCTGGCCCTCACCTTTTCCCTGCCAATGTTCTCAACGCCGTCCTCTTTTATGGCTCTGCCTCCTTCCTGACTCTGCTCGCTAAAACTCTCCTGGATGATATTCAAAGCTGCTTCTGCGTCTGCTTTTGGCATCAGCCAATTAGCCTTCATTGTAAAGTGGTAATAAGCCTCCTGAAGAAGTGGCACAATTGTTGTGTGCTTTTATTTGGTGCTGCTTTCTACCACCGTACAGAAAATGTAACAATACCTGCCTCATGCCCTGCTGAAAGGAGGGTGGGTTTGAAAAGCTTTCTGAAGGCCATCTGCCATCCCCTCAGCCATGCAGCAGATCAGACATGAGGCCCTGCATTAGTTAGCACTCCAAGTAAAAGGTATCAAGGGCCTGTATTCCTTTTCATCTCACCCTCCATTATAATGCAGGCTAAAGAAGGAAACAGACTCGTGGCTACCCAGCTGGGAGACACACAGAGCCATAGCGGGATCTTGCCTGAGACAGGGAGCAGGCCTTTCTCTGACGGTGAATGGGGCCAGTGTCTGCAGCCAGCAGTTTTCCAATGTCCCCTACCCTGCTGGTAATGGCTCGACTGGGTTACACTGGCCCTCATGGGAGGACCTGGTGGTGGTGAGAGTCTCAGAGTGGAGGCATCCTTACGTACTTACACACGGATGAGGAGAGGGTTGGTCACGTGTGCTGGTCAGGATATGCTCCCCACATCACCTCAGTTTACACCATCCATCCATTTGGCCATGAATATTAACTTAAAAGATTATTCAGACATCCTTAGAGATGTCAAGAGAGATCATCTCTAGTACAGTAGAAATGTTTCTCGTGGATTTGAACGAGCATGTTCATTGTACCAATGATGGCAGAAAGTTTCAGCAAATCTTAATTGGCATTTGGGATCCGTATGAGTAGAGATAATGACATTGGCTGAGTGAAGTCTCATTTCCTGCCAGCTGAATATAATATAGATAGTGACATTAAAAATACCTCCCTGGCCCAGTAAAATGCCCTAGAGATTCAGCGGAAGAGATTTAATAAGAAAAAGGAGATTAATTTTGCTTCTCAGTAGTTTCTGAGAATGCTATGACTCTGGGATCACTAATGTATTGCTAGAAATTGTAAGTGCTCTTTCTGTGAAAAAAAATCTTCCATCAGAGGAAATCTACTTAACTGTAATAATCTAGCATAATGCAAAACCTAGTTTTAATAAACAAGCTTAAGAAATGGAATATTAGGACAGTATCTAAATATTTTCAGTAATCTAGAGTATTCTCTAATTTTCTTATCAAAACACAAGTAGTATTTTGACTCTTCTTTTAAAAGACAAAACCACCCATCAACTGCCCTGCATCAGCAATGTGTTTTTTCTTAGATTGTGGTGATTTAGTCACTAAGTTGTGTCTGACTCTTGCAACCCCATGGACTGTAGCCTGCCAGGCTCTTCTGTCCATGGAATTTTCCAGGCAACAATAATGGAGTGGGCTGCCATTCCCTTCTCCAGGGATCTTCCTGACCCAGGGATCAAACTTGAATCTTCTGCATTGGCAGGTGGATTCTTTACTGCTGAGCCACCAGGGAAGCCCCTTTATTAGATTAACAACAACAAAAATGGGGGAAAGAATGTTAATTTTATATGAAATCCTTCATAATTGTGCTAATTTATTTTTCCTAGAAAAACATCCAGATGAGATTCAAAAAATCAAGGATGAATTTTATTTACCTGAGCTCATGAGCTAAAGAGATGCTGCCCTTCCCTAGGTCCTTTTCCTGCAGAGAAGGGGGCCTAGGTGGCTATTCTCCTTATGTGGACATTCATATCACAAATTCCCCATTTAGACTGGATGAGCTTTGGACCACTTTTCCTCACAGGCCTCCAGCCTACCTGATCTGTTCAGAATTGGAAGGTCAGAGCCTGGTTTCCTTAGAGGCCCTTGGAGTTCCTCTGAGAGACCCTCAGAAAAAAGAATCTGGAGCACAGAAAGAAGGAGGCTTAAACTAAAAAAACAGGGCAGACTGGAGGGACCAGCTTTAGCTGTGTTCATCAACACTTGGAACAGAATTTTTGAATGATCCCAAAGCTCTCAGTGACCCTACAGGAAATAGTATGTACTCCTATCGCAGAATCAGAGTTATTGGAAAAGCTGTTTCAGAAAGACATGTTGTGGTTTCACGGATAGGCTTCAGCCTTTTTTTTCATCCTTGGACTTGACACTGGAAACAGAAGGTGCTCAGTGGCAGCCCGCATGAATGATTCTGGAGAACAGAGAGCCTCCCTCGCTGCCTTTTTGTAAGAACCACCTGGGTCTTCCGTCCACCAGCTTCCCAGGGATGTCCGCAGCCAACAGTAGCCTCTTTTTAGCCCTTACTGGCTTGCTTCCCCGTTTAATCATTGTTCCCCTGTTTTTTCACACACACATTTCATTGTCAGCTTAATGACTTTGGCTGTGCACATGCATGGTTTTCTCCTTGCTGGTACCATGACACTCTAAAAACTGTTGGAAAAAGCTTGCATTTTTAAGACACATTCGTCCTTTCTTATCCATTCTGAGAAACTTCACTCCCTTTTCCCAACAGACAAAAGACAACTCTTACTTGCCCATCTGTGTGAATACTGAGCCCTCATTTGCATTGCTGGTGGCAAGATTAGTGGGTTTTTCCAAGGTTATGATAACTATTCAGAAAGATTTGTTTATAGAAGTATTTCAGTTCAGTTCAGTTCAGTCACTCAGTCGTGTCTGACTCTTTGTGACCCCATGAACCGCAGCACGCCAGGCCTCCCTGTCCATCACCAACTCCCGGAGTCCACCCAAACCCATGTCCATTGAGTCGGTGATGCCATCCAACCATCTCATCCTCTTGTCGTCCCCTTCTCCTCCTGCCCTCAATCTTTCCCAGCATCAGGGTCTTTTCAAATGAGTCAGCTCTTCACATGAGGTGGCCAAAGTACTGGAGTTTCAGCTTCAGCATCAGTCCTTCCAGTGAACACTCAGGACTGACCTCCTTTAGGATGGACTGGTTGGATCTTCTTGCAGTCCAAGGGACTCTCAAGAGTCTTCTCCAACACCACAGTTTAGGAGATTTTTGTCAACAATTTCCTTACCTTTTTTAATTTTAGTATTTTAAATGGCCTGGGCTTTGTGCCAGGACAGTGTTCCTCAATGTACAGTGGACTCCTGGCCCTTTTGCTTTAAAATATTATAAGAACAGAATTCCTATGTTTACGTTAAATAAAACATAGTTGATGTATAATTTGAGCAACTCAACAGTTGGCAGTTATAATTCAGGCAGACTGAATTTCTTAGCCAGTGCCTTTCTGTGAAATACTTAGTGATCATCAAATACACAATTACCCAGAAATTTCCCAAAGAATAGAGTTTTGTAGAGTTTTTTTCTGCTAAAAAAGCAGTAACTCTTTTATTGGTTCATTTTGTAAGTTGAGACATTATCCTTTTTCCATAGTATGTAATCACTTGACATAAAAGAATTAGGCAAATTCACAGCAAACTAGTTATCTTTAGAAAGCAAACTGTGTGTAATACTTCTGTCATGCTCCAGTGATTACATTTTTAAGGACTTTTTAAACTTTTTTTTGAGGGGTACTATGCAGAAAAACTAAAGCAGACATTGGAGAAAGATCATTAGTCAGTTGTCACTTTATTTTTCCCATAGGTTCTCAAATCTGGAGAAATTGAGAGAATCAGTTGGTTTCTTTAGAAATCCTAGTGAACTTTTGGATGTGTGATGTTATCTAAAAAATAACTCATCACCCATCACAATTAAACTAGAAGAGTCACAAAACTAAGCATTTGGAGTAAGCCCACATTTTGTCATGTATCCTTCGATAAATGATAATAAAATTTATTGAGACCTTAATACATTCCAGGCACTGTCCTAAGAATTTCACATTCATTGTCTTATTTAATCCTCACAAATAGCATAACAGATATTATTATATTAATGGATATTATATTAATAGATATTATTACCTCTGTTTTTTAGATTGAAGACTCGGACTCAGAAAGGTTTAGGAACTGTATTGGGTTGGTCAAAAAGTTCGTTCAGACTTTTCTGTACCATCTTATGGGGAAATTGAACCAACTGTTTGGCCAACTTAATATGAAACAGAACTGGGCGAGCAGTCCAGGTCTGAGAGACTTCAAAGCCTCCATCAAACGACAACGCATCAGGACATATTACCAGATAGCATAACTGCATTATACTGACAGGGTGGAAACAGTAAGGTGTTCAGGTGCTGGACAATGAAATGTGGCCCCCTAGTTATGTTATGAGGTCAGTGTTTCAAAATGTAATCAGAGAATCAGAGGGCAAGAAGCACCCCTGAGGCTCGCTAACAATACCGGAGTACGCTCAGACACGAGACAGAGTATAAAATCGCACTCAAGTTGTGATTATAACCATGTGAAAGTAATTTATGTGTATGGACCAGGATGGAAGAGAACTCGGGAAAATGTATTTAGTAGTGTGAAGAGATTATGAGCATTACATTTTCATGTTCTATTTGTGCAATTTTTTTCTTAATGATAAAATTAAAAGGTTTTTCTGATATATGGAAGTAAAACATAAATCCTAACAGGAGTGCTGATTTTGACACGCATGTGAAAGCACCAGTGCTAGGATTGCTGTTGATCAGTTGCTCAGTTGCGTCCAACTCTTTGTGACCCCGTGGGCTGCAGCTGCAGCACGCCAGGCTGCCCTTGTCCTTCACTATCTCCTGGAGTTTGCTCAGATTCTAGGATTAAGGGCTCCTATCAAAATATCACAACTGCCTTCTGCCTTTTTAGTGATGCATGCAATCAGTTGCCTTAGTGAAATAAAAGGTAGCAAGTGGTAGATTTGGCTATAGGACATGCTAGGCACAGAGGGTGGGAAGCAGGGGA